CGGCCCCGACCCCCCTCGCCGGCCGGCCGGCCTTGCAACGGCAGAAAGTGAATCACTAATTAAAACCACTCCTCGGCATCCCGGAGCCGCGCTCTGCGGATTACTATTATTTTGCTGTTTCAGAAGCCTCAGTTGGTGTGGGCAGTGCGGCTGGAATCTTTTCCTTCCAAACCAGGCTTTGAATCCCGTCGAGCTCTAGTGTGGGACCTGGGACAAGTGCCCGGGCGTGGCCGAGCCTCGGCTTCCTCATCTGTGGAATGGGGATGGTAGCGGTGGCAGCCTCCTGGGATTCACCGGGAGCGTTTCAGTTCAGTGCCAGGCAGAAAGTCGGTGCTCAATTAGCGGAGGCTATTATGACTGTAATTATTAACAAAATAATGCGACAATGCCCTGACTGAGATTCCTGGCCTGTTACATCCTCCCCAGCCTCTTGGGTATGGGGGAGGGGGGAGGGATAAGACTTGGAGAATTCAAAAAATTAAAAACATAGCTTCAGCAAGACTGAAGTCATCTCCCCCATCCCCAACAAGATGTAATGAACCGCAAATAATCAGCCAGGGCATTGCCCCCAAGCACAAGCCCATCCCCCTTGGAATCCAGGCCTACCCTCCACCCTACTCCACCTATCCAGGCAGAACCCCCTCAATCCTGGTTACCCAAGCTGGATATGGGAGTCTCCCTCCAGAGAGAAGAGGACAGAAAACCTGACCCTACCACAGAGCTCCTGTGGATAACACCTTCCATTTGAACACCCAGAGGAAGCCAGTTCGTGACTTCTGCAAAGAAGCGCATCCAGGAAATGAACAGGGGTGCTGAGAAGCAGCATCATTGGAGACTCAGATCCCCACACACGTGGGTCTCCCCAACCTGAGGGTCCCCCTGACCTGCACCCTCCCCTGCCTCCGCCCTAATTTGTTACATGCAGCTCTCTTGCCAGTTTCAAAGTAATAAAATCTTCCTGAAATGCTAGAACCATGAGGCCCAGCGCTGACAAGGCGGCCAGGTTCCAGAGGCCACTGCTGCAGGACGGCGCTGTAAGCCCCTGGCGATTGTTAAAACGATCGCTGCAGTCACAGCCCTTGGCCTGCTGGTTCCTTGCTCCCAGAGTCAGGGACAGGTAGCTGGGGTGCCCCAGAGCCCCGCAAGGATCCTCCCACTACCAAGCAAGCCAGAGCTCCACACCCAGCAGCAGAAACCAGGGCCCTGTGTGCACCGTAAGTCATAGCCATGGATACCTCAGCCTGGTGAGCTCAAGTGCCCGGGGAAGAGAAGTGGGGGATGGGGTGGGGTGAAAGAAAGAGATTACAGTCTCTCTCTCTCTCTCACACACACACACTCACACACACACACACACACACGCACACACACGGCCTGTTTTCCACTTGGGGCTGACAGTGCCATGGACACATTGTTCCAGCTCCCAGAGCTGCCAGAGGGGAAGCCCACGTTCCCAGGAATCCCAAACCATCACTCACCTTCCCCACCAGCTTGCCTTTGCGGTTCATGCACAGGTAGAATTCCGTCTCCTTGCCCTTGATCCGGACTTGACTACCGAAGGTGTCTGTCTCCACTAGGAGCTGGGCTTCGAAAGGCAGAAGGAGAACAAGACACATTTTATTACCAGGGGCAATGGCTTGGTCTAAAGGCTCAGTGACATGGTCCCTGATCCTATCTTTGGTCCCTCACTCCCCCAAAATCAGGCATGGGGAGGCCTAACAAGTCCCACAGGACAGATGCCTAAATAACCACAGAGAAGTCAGAGAAGTAGCAGTCCCTGCCCCTCAGGCGGGGAGATGGAAGCTGCAGATCACCTGTTCCCTTCCCTCCAGCCTCTCTTGGCTCCGCTTGGGATCCAGATGGCTCCAGCCAGAAGGGAGTTCTGCCCTTGTGGCTAAACACCAGTGTGCCCTTCTCCCCATCGTCACCCACCTTCCCTAGCCCCTCAACTCTACTGCACCAAACAGGACAAAGAGCCGTGCAAAAAACCCATTTCCCAAAGCAGGACAGACAGCCATACGAAAAGGCCATTATCCCAAGCAGGACAGGCGGCAGTGCAAATAACTCCATCCCCCAAACCCAAAGCAAGACAGACAATCATAAAAATAACCCCATTCCCCAAATCAGGACAGATGCCATACAAATAACCACAGAGAAGTAGCTAAGGGGACCAAGGGGACAGATAGACACAGATGCAGGCACGTGCACGCACACCTCCCCTGCCTTTCAGGACGTCAAGCTATTTCCTCCAAAAGTTAGGTCTATGGCCCCCTCCTGCAAAGCAAACATCTGGAGCCCCTGCTAGTGCCCCCTGGCACCTTTACCCTGGCTATTCATAGCAGGAAGGGCACAGGGAGTGAGATGCGAGCTCCCTGAGAAAGGGTATGCAGGATATTCCACTGCCTTCCATGGAGGCCACCAAAGCTGAAGGGTAATTAACTCCCAGGAGCCCAGAAATTCCAATCAGGACCCAATTCCCCCTGCGATCCCCCCAGGGTGGGAGACCCCATGCTACATCATCCATGCTCCACAGAGCCTCCCTCAGGATGAGGGGTCCAGAGCTGATCCCCCAAAGCCCTGCCTGAACAAGGACATCAAGCAGGCAAAGAGTGACTGTCCCTTGATTAGGTGTGCTGTATCCAAATCGAATTTTCCTCTCCCTCTGCCAGTCCACATTTTTCTCCCCAGTAGGCTGCTGTGTGACTTTGGGTAGGCCACGCGCCCTCTCTTAGCTCTCTCTCCTCTCTGATCTTAAACCCCTGTGCCTGACTCCCCAGTACCACCTGCTTTCTTTGCCTGTGACCGCCCCCCTCCCAATTCATGCACTCTTTCTCCTGACCCCTTGCTTCCTAGCCCCTGCCCCTCCCTCACCCACAAAAGTTTAATTTCAGTGACAAGGGATTTGCTTCTCCATAACAAAAATCATAGCCCCAAATTCCTGAGTACAGTATCCTTGGAGCCACAAAGAGTATACCTCAGTGCCCCTAAAATACACTAGGTATGATTTCAATAAAAAAAATTACAAATATAGACCCTGGTGCCCTGCTGTGAAAATTAAAACCATCTGGAACTTGAGATTTCCAATAATTAATCTAGCCCTCCTTTGACACCACTACTAATTAAAATACGATACCCACCTTTCCAAGAGGGAAAAAAAGAAGAATTTACATAAAATTTAAAGATCTAACAAGAATTTAGTAACTCTAGAAACAAGGGGAGGCACATTCTTCCCTCCACCTCCCCCTAGCCCTAGTCAACACTGAGTCAGGGATATTTACCAACACTGAGATGGCGGTGGGTACAAGCCCCTCATCCTCCCTGTTCCCCTTAAGTCAAACTCCCTGTCATTTCGTCTGTGAACTCCCTCCCCAGGGCCAAACATCACTGCAGCTCTGAAACTTGCTTTCTCCATCTCTTCGCAAAGCTCAGGCCCCACAGCGGGTGAGGAGTTATCGGGGCATCAATTTCAGGCGCTTCTGATGAGGGGGAAAGGTGAGAGCTTTAGGGTGCACAAATCTGGATATGAATCCATGGCCCCAACCGTATGACCCTGGGCCTCAGTTTCTTCTCCTGTAAAATGGGGGTATAATCTTCCATAGTTATTGTGAGGATTATACAAAATGACACTGTGAAGAGCTTAGCACTCTGTTCTCAGAGGTCAGGGAGAGAAAACTCAATAAATGTTAATTTTCCTACAAACTGCAAAACCAAACTGTTTTCCCAAAAGAAAAGAAAAACGAAAATATAGTGGAAGGAAATCGGAGGTGTCTGCAAGGGTGGAGGAGCAGCAGAGCTTCCTTCCCCAGGTCTTGAGTTATGACCTGACCTTCCCAGCATCCTTCAGGGCTGCAGGTGTCCCACACTGTAAAATGCATCAGAAAATGCCTGGGGCTGGGGCTCACCGAGTCTAGTTTCCTTCTGGCATTGCCATCCTAGGCTGTGTGACCTTGAGCAAGTCATACCCCACTCTGAGCCTCAGTTTCCCTACCTGTGCAAGGGGGAGGGGCTCGACCCTATTCTCCTTCTCCTTGGTAAGATTAGGAAGTGGGGTCTAGCAGAGGGACAGGGATGGGAGATGCAGGAAGTAGGTAAAGCCACTGAGCTGGGGCCCAGATAACCCCAAGTAGGCCCAAGAGGGAGACTCCCTCTCGGCCCTACCCAGCACATGCCTGGGCCTCTGTCCTCGCAACAGTTCCTGCTATGCTCCCCTTAGAGCGCACTGAACCATCCAACCCTATGAGATTGGGTGTCTTTGTCCCCATTCTACAGTGTAGGAAACTTAGATTCAGAGCATCAGCCCGGTAACAGGGGCTGACCTCAGGACTGCCTGCCTCTTTCTACTGGGGCCTGGGCTCCAGGGGAGAGGCCCCAGCTCTGGAGGGACAGGCCTCCCAGCACAACCCCCACTCCTCACCAGCCAGCACCACCAAAGGAAGGAAGCCCTGGTCTTGGCCTTTGCCTGAGCTGTCCAAAGGGCCTGGGGCAGAGGTTGCACCTCCACCCCACCGCGAGCCTCACCATCCCACCCCAGCATGGGGAGGGTCTGCGCCTGGCCGTCATGCCAGGGGAGCCAGAAGTCTGTTCTCTCCCCGACCGCAGCATGCGATGGAGTGACCTAGACTCCACTCAGCACATGACATCATGAGGAGGGAGCCGGGCCAGAATTATGTAAAGTCTTTGGGGAGTAATAGCAGCAGCAGTTCTCAGAGAGAGAGAGAGAGGGAGAGAGGAAACGAGACAGAGAGAGAGACAGGAGAAGGAGAAGAGAGAGACACCACCCAGGCCAGGTCCTCAGCATCACGCACCCACTCCCATGACCCAAGCCCCCAGGATGCTGCTCTCAAGAGCTGTAAACCTCATCCGGGCTCAGGCACAGCTCCATTCGAGGGGCCTGCACCAGGCCAGGCAGAGGAGCTGATGACATTATCTCACCCTGCTCATCAGACTTCCTCATGGCCCTGGCCGGGCCACTGTCCCCTGCAGCCTGCACAATTCAACAGCCCCCTCCCCTTGCCATTCTCACCCCCATCCACCTCTCCTCCACACCACAGCCAGAGGAATCCTTTCAAAATATAAATTTGCGAGGCGCTGTGGCTCATGCCTGTAATCCTAGCACTTTGGGAGGCCGAGGCGGGTGGATCACCTGAGGTCAGAAGTTCAAACCCAGCCTGGCCAACATGATGAAACCCCATCTCTACTGAAAAAAAAATACAAAAATTAGCCGGTCTTGGTGGTGCACACCTGTAGTCCCAGCTACTCAGGAGGCTGAGGCAGGAGAATCACTTGAACCCAGGAGGCAGAGGTTGCAGGGAGCAGAGATCATGCCATTGCACTCCAGCCTGGGCGACAGAGTGAGACTCCACCTCAAAAAATAAAATAAAAAATATATCAATTTAATTTTGTCCCTTCTCTGCTAAAGACCTCCTAGGGATCCCCAAGCCACATAGAAGAACATGTAAACTCTTCACTGGGACCCACAAAGGGCACACAGCCTGGCCCCTGTGGGCCAGCCCCGCCTCCCTGCCTTGTTGCTCCCCTCTAGCACACCAAGCATGCTCCTGCCACAGGGCCCCTGCACATGCCGTTCCTCTGCCTGGAGGCTGCTTTGCCCAGAGCTTCCAGAGTGGCTCCTCATCTCCTAGGTTGTGGCACAAATATTGCCCCTCAGAGAGGCCTTCCCAGACCATGATGTCTAATGCTGGCACCACCCTCCCCAGCCCAGCCCTACCCCATCCCCCTGCTCCATTTTCCTGAGAGCTCTTCTCCGAAACTCTTATTTTTATTGTCGGTCTCCACCCAGCAGAAAGTAAGCTCCACGAGGACAAGAACCTGTGTGTCTTATCACCACTCTGACTTCCAGTGCCTATCCCATGCCTGGCTCAGAGTGACCGACCGGCAAGCCAGTTTTAATAAGCTCATCAACAGCCTTGTGGTGTGGAGATGACTAACACCATTCACTGGCTAATGAAAACGAAATTCAGGGAGGTGAAGTGGCTTGCCTGACTCACATGGCTGGGAAGAGCAGGGTAAGGTCTGAGTCCAGTGTCTGATTTCACAGTCAATGCGCTTCACCACTGTGCACCTTCCTGGTGTGACTCTCGGTGCCACTTGCAGGAACCATGGGTTCCCACCCACCCATCACCAGCCTCAGTGACACAGCAGAAAACCTTTTCCCTCTCTGGGGCAGATCTAGGTAACCTCTGAGGCCTCTTTCAGTTCTGCCCCACTGGAAAGTATCAGTAACTGACATTTCTTTAGAGTTTATGATGCGCTGGGCATTGTCCTAACTACCTTACATGCATTATCTCATTTAATTCTTACCACCATCCTAGGACATTTGAACTATTGTTATTATCCCCAATTTACAGGTGAGAAAACCAAGTCCCACAGTCACACAGTGATAGAGCTGAGATCCCAGCCCAGGCAGTCCGACCCAGAAGTCTCGGGCTTTGCCTGTCTACCCCAGCCCTCACTTCTCAGAGGCCCCAGCCCCTTTCCTGAGGAGCGAGTGAGTGAACAGTGAAGGAGGCAGGAGGATCTTCTCTTTGGCCCCACTTTCTTTGGGCAGCAGTTAGTGGACGGGGA